ATATATGATATGAGATATTTATATATTAAATTTAAAAAGTTATTGTCATTGTAATGAAATATTAACCCTACAAAATAGACAGATTAGGCATGCAATCAGATCCTGTCTTTAAGAAAGTCTGAAAAGTAGTTTTCTGTATTTGCAGAAACAGTGATTAGTAATAGTGCCAAATCTAAATATTTATCTTGGTCAATATAAAGATATTAAAATAGGCAGCCTAGTATAGTATGAAATTATTATACAGCTTTTTCCTGTTTCAGTGTCATGGAGTCCACTGATTTTTAGATCATAGGATTTCATATTTTTTTAAGGAAAAGGGAGTATTTTAGTAAGAAAGGCTGGTGATAGTGCTCAACAAGAAATTACTTTGGAGTGGGTAGTTTAAAATGTAAAGAGCCTTCTTTTTATGTTTAATTGTTCACGACTAAAAAATTTATGAGCAAATCCAATTTTGTACTGCTGGAATTCATTGCAGAGTAAGTAAGCATGATAGATAAAAGTGGTAAGAATAAAGTAAGAAAAGAGAACACGGATGAGTTAGAAGAACCAGCTTAATATCTATTATATCTGATATAAATCTTTTTTGGGGTTGCGTAGGAACACATCTCTAGGGTGGTAAGTTATAAAAAGAAACTGTCTATAAAGCTACTGTAAGCTCATATGTAACAGTTTGTTATATAAAAGTGGGGAAATAAATTACAGACAAATTGCCAAGCAGTAAATTCGATTGAATAACATTTGATTAAAAACATTTGCAATAAAAATGGCATCCACATATTTTACAGATGATAGAACAACTAAGATTTTGGTGAAAGATCTGCAATAAAGTAATAAATACAAGTAAATGTACACCAGAAATGTTATATTACACTCTGAAAAATATTTTCTCTGTTCTTCCTCTAAACTATGTAATAAAGTTTTTTGCAATGTGCTTTATTTTCATGGACAGAATAGAATTAAAGTCAAAAGCATTTGGGAAATAGCTTTCAGCCTGATGTGTTAAAACAATCAGAGGTCAAATGTAACCACAAACCAAAATAAATCTTGAAGAGCCTTTAAAAACTAACACAGGAGGTGGTTTACACTAACATTTTTGCTTTGGACAGATACTGATTAAAAGCAATTGGACCACTCACTGCATTCCAGCTAAGGGAATGATAACGGACCACATTAAAATGTCTGCAGGTGTCACAGAACGTGAATACGACTTTACAAAACAATGGAGCTTAAAAATGAAAATTACTAACAAATTCATAAAAGACAGCAAGTATTAAGGGCAGGGTATTAGACCTGGGCAGGAACTGCATGTAACCAGATATGCAGGGAGAAGTGAAAATAGATCTCTACTTTTATTCAGATTTTGGTGAGTGGAATTTCATTTCTTTATCGTCCATTTATAATAAGGGATATAGGTTAGGAGTTTACAGATTTCTGTGAAAAGAGGTACTCCACTCACATTCACTGTGGATTTAAAACTGGTCTTCATTAATTAGGGCCAAATCCTTAGGAGAAATTATTTAATTTTACACCTTGAGAAGCAAAAATTGTGGAACTCTTCTCAAATTCTGAACTCCTGATGCCAGACACACAATATGAATTCGTAAGTATTCTAGAAGAATTTTTTAATTTCTAGGCAGTAATTTATGGATCGATTTAAAAATAGTTTCTTTCGGCTCGTAACTTCTACTGATGCTGCCTTTGTGCACAAACCTGTTTGCTTATTTATCCCCACTCTCCTGTCCCTTAACAGGGCTGGAGACTGTTACTCTCACCTCCTTCCAGTCCCTCCTCGAGAATTCTTTCTTCCATGATGTCTGCGTGACACTAAACAACTGATAAAGGATGGGCTGCTGATGTGTATTCATTTGAAAAGACATACAAAAATAACATCTAACATATACACACGTAAATTTTAAAATGCATCCCATTACTTCCATATACTGAAATTCTTTAGAAAAATATAGAGCAAGAGCTGACAAGGCCTATGTATCACTTAACTATTGTATCTTCCTCCCTTTCCTTCTGTCTCACTGGTTTTATTTTTTTAGCTCATTTGAATAGAAATTTTACAGGTTGGTTGTACCACACATACATAAGAAGACTCTGGAGCTCACTGGGACCTCTACCATTCCTCAGATTCAAAGCTCCTGAAACCAGATACAGAAATATGAACTCATTAGTATCCTAATGCAAACAATAATATTAAACTTTCTATTGGCAAAACTCTGCAAACACATTTCATCACAATAACCTTTGATATGTCCTCCAGTTGGAGTATTTTTAAAGCTTCTCATTGAAATAATTATGTTAAAGTGCGTTTCAAAGTAGTGCTCAGCAGGCAGGTGGTATTGTGCAATATGTGTAGTACAAGCTTACATTACAAATTATTTGTCACTCTTAAAACAGTAAGTGAAGGAAAGTATCTTAGCAAGGCTAATAAAAACCTACCGAGTGAGTCTGCCTAAGAAATGCATGTGTTAGTATGTTGTCTGTACAGAATTAGCAGCACTATACAAAACACGATTCATTAGCTGGATTGGGACATGCCTTTTTTTGTGATATTTATATTCCATGAATCAATATATAGGCCATACTTAAATACTAGGGCTTGGACTATGCTCTTTATTTTCTCATTTACTTGTCTATACATGGCTACCTACTCCATGGTTTTCATTTCACTCGGTACTTTGAAATTCTGCCAAACACTCCTTAAACAATACTTTAAGAAAAGCTGGAAAATAAACACTCTCTGGAGCAAAAGTTCAAAAGAAAAAAAAAAAAAAGAAGAAAAAAATTCAAGGTATTGAAGTGGAATCCATAGATCACTTCTTGGAGGACATAGCTGTCATAAAACAGGTGTAGGGAGCAACAGCATTTACTGAAGTTGGTAAATTAGCTAAAGCCAGGCTATACAGAGCAAGACAATATAACTTCTCCTCCCATTTACATGGGTTCTGATATGATTCAAACAACAAAGTCTTTCAATGTCATCTTCCACTGATACCCTGAAAATCCTCTCGTATCAAAAGCCACTGTTTATATACTCTTATATATCCATTTAGTAATACAACAGATCTACTTACCTACGCTTCCTTTGTCTACAAACTCATTTAGTGATGTTTAGAAAAATGCTGAGAATTTTATTTCTAGAAAAATACCCTTTTCCTTGTGTTCCCCACAGTTCATGCTTTGAGCCAAATACTACCCTTGAATAACCACAACAGTCAGCAGCACTGGGAGGAATGGCCAGATATCTGCCAGCAGAATTTCACACTCTTACATTGTTGTAAAAAATGCGTATAAAGCATCAGGGAGAGGGGCAGAAGAGGGAGAGGGAGGATAGAGTATGTTTAAAGGAGTTGAACTGAATTAATGCTGGAATAGGAGATTGGAGAAAATATGCACCTGCCATATATTTTACCCATTTCACTAAAATGATATTCAAAATCAGGCAATGCTGATATTCCCAGAATTAAATAATAAATAAAAAGCAATTCCAGCTAAATTAACTATTATCCCACTACAGTCTTTTTATAATGTACTATTTACAGTGAAATACAAAAAGTATTTCATTCATACAATTACTACAAAGATTCTATGTGATGCAGAACAGCTTTTACACTAGGCAAGGGTATGGAACCTGTAGTCAAAACCAATAGTGAATTTCCCCCCACTTACCAGTGCAACAGGTGTTCAATGCAAAACAATCTGTGTTCACTCCCTTTAGATTTCAATGCATTTTCTCTAGCAAGCTCGTAACAGAGTATTTTGTCACAGTCATTTTCTAAGCTCTCACCAGCAGGACAACAATTTAGGTGAAGGAAAAGCAGTGAGCTGGCTACAAAGTGGGAATGCAGAGGAATTGGCAAGTGTAGAAAAAGTGGAGAAGCTACAAAAATTTATTTTCCAACAAAATAACTCTCCACAAGCTGTGTAAACTTTTCTTACTAAAACAAATACTCTAAAACACAAAGATTTTACATTTCCAGTGAAACACTCACAGTAACATTTGCCTGTTTTTACTCTCCTGAAGTCTCAACAAAGAGCCAGCAGATTCATGCTTTCTCAATTACCTGGGCCAGTAAACTCCCTCATGTTCCCTGACTGCAATTTGGGTTTTTAAATTAATAGACAGAATGAAGAAACAGACTTGTTGGGCTTTTGAGTAACCTTTGTTTTCTTCAGTAGATTCTCACACTTTGCTGCCTAACGTGCACATGCAGACGTACGCCCATCCACCCACCCACTCACATACACACCTCTGTCATGTGTGCTCTATTATTCTGACAATAGAACAAAAATTAAGCTGTGTCCATTGCAATTTTGTCACCTGTACAGAGAAGAATAATTTATAGCGGTAAGTTCGTTATCTTCACCATAAATTTAAAATGCAAAGTTGGGTTTGCAAGGACAGCATAAGGTAGAAGAGTTAGACGCTTTATCTCAAGCACTCATTCGTGTTTACAATAAGTATAAGCTTTCTGCTACAGAAGAAAATGTATTTAGATTGAACACTGTTGCAGATTTCCTAAATGAGGCTAGTTCCAGTTGCCAGTAATTCAAAAGCAGATCTGCTGACTTGGCATTAGGACTCTAAAACAGTGTGATCAAACTTATATAGTAAGAAGGTGTCTGCAGAAATAACATTTATAAACTGTATATACAGTACACAGTACCAGTACATAGAAAATAGATTTTGACTTCATGATCCCCTGTGTGTAAGGCAAGACTGAATTCTGTCTTCAAATGGAGTCCACCAGAGGTACAAGCAACAGATAGGGGCTCTTAAATCAATATGCAAGTCAAGTGCATACAAATTAAAAATCAGAGCAGACAAAAAGTTTTAGATTTTTTTTATGTGCTGATTCGGGCTTGCTGAATACACGGGAAGTTATTAAACATCAAATGTACCTTTTTTTAAAAAACACTAACAACACCTTGATGGCAACAGATATTGTTCAAGTGGCAGCTACCAAAAAACAGCTTGAAAAATGGCATAGTACAACATCAGGAACTCTGCAGTTGTGCTATGCTAATTCATATAGCACTAACCAGAAAAATAAGTATATGAATATTCTATTTCATGCTATTGCTATGCAAGCAACAGCAATACAAATCAGCATACAGAAGGATACCATATGTTCTGCAATGAAGAACCCAAAGATATTTTCAAGGGGCATTGTTACAAGACTTCAAAGAAACACAAGACTGCCGGAGGCAAAAGTTACTGACGGATGTAAACATCCCTGTTCCATTCTCCTGCGTCGTTACGTTTTTTCGATATCACTTCCCCATCCTTGTCACAATATTGGTCCCTTGATTTATGACGACTACGCTGTTTGTTGCATTCATTGTGGTCCTGCTCGCGGTCCCTCTCCTTTGAGCGATGCCTTGATTCTCTATGTCTGTGATCACTGCTCCCATGGGACTCGTCTCTATGATTGTGATCCCTGTGAGAATCATAGTGGTCACCGTGCTCATGTGAGTAGTCCTCCTTTGGCTCTACGTAAGCCGAATCTCTGCTCTCTTGTGTTTCCGAGTCAAAAGTTTCTTGCCTAGAAAGGCCTCTAACACCACCACGATGGTTGTGGTGTTGGCTTGAGGAGGAGCGATGCTGGGATTTCTTGATGGGTTCAACCCGTGCTTCCTCTTCAATTTGTGAACCGCTGCGTTCAGGGACTGAATGGTCATTCCTCTGGTCTCCTTGAGATCCCTGCTATCACAACCAGCAGTAAGTTCACACACATGAAGCACACATTTAAAAATTTTCCCCAATATCAAATTCAACTAGAAAGTATCATAAAACCAATAAAATGTAAGTACACAACAATCCACTTCGAATCTAAACTAGAAAAAACCATTAGAATTCAACTTTTACTGAAAATTCAGTATTATAATACAAACAACTCCCTTCACTCTCATCAGAATGGAGGGTGGCACTTGAGTTATTCTGTGACACTTTCTCATCTCCTGTGATGTTTCTGACTCTTGCAGTTAGCAGTAACTGCCTACCACACTCCAAAAGACAAAAAGAGAGCATGCAGAAGCAGGACAAACTGCAGAGAAATTAAAGAGGACATATCATGCCAGGAGAAGGCAGATATCAGTTGAGAGTTTGCAGATACCTACTTGGAAACAGCCACTATGGGAAAGTGATTTCAGAGGGCTGAGGAGGTGGATTCCAGCAGAGAACCAAAGTACAAAACCTTGGCTATTTTAAAGTAGCTTTCTTTTTTTTTTCTTTTTTGTTAAAGAAAAAAATGCAATTGAATCTGGTATGAAAAAAGTTTGTATTATGATACTAATAGTATCACTGACCTTCTGTTTTTCTCAGCAATAATTCCATTTCTTCATGGTAATGAAAAATTAAACTTTGACCTCATAATTTTAAGAGCTCAAGAATACAGACCATTGCCAAGAAAAGCAGGAGGAGAGAGATATTATCACCTATACAATTTCCTAACACACCACTGCTATTAAAAGACTGAAATAAAAATTACCAGGTAATAACAAACCTACTCTTCACCAGCATAATGCTTTGAAATCACTGCAAAACGAACAAGTGGCATTATTTAACTCATTTGGGGGTTTCCTTACATTAACCTGCTTTTATTCCCAAACCACAGCCAAAGACTTTTCAAGCTTAATTGCAAAATTTTAAAAAATAGTTTATGGTGAAATTGAATTATCCTTCTCACGTGAGGTGAAGAACGTCAAGACAAAATCATCTCTACTGGCACAAAATTAAAGTAGGTTTTAACAGTTATACAGGCATTTGTTTGTGAGACTGTTCTGAATTTACCAAAGTTAGTCTAAAGTTTGCCCTCCTATGTTCAGAGCTGTCTAAAAGTAAGGATTGCCTCCAGGGCAGCTCACGGATATATCTTCTTTGTGTCTTTCTATTTTGTGGAAAAGAGCTAGGGAAGGAGGAAATTTTGTCCTTCAGCCATAGATCCAGGCAGGTGGGTTTCCTAGCAACCTAAAAAGTAAAATGACGGGAAACTGGACAGGAACAAATCTGTATTTTATCATAAACTTATAAAAAGCAACATATTTCAAATCAGCAATTTGATAAGTTTGACAAATCTTCATTTTCTAAGACAACATTTTCTTCTGTAAACTTCCTAGCGACTAGTTGGTTGTTCCATGTGTTCCTAATTTGAAACAAATGGTATAGATGAGAACAAGAGAAAGAGCAGTCAAATTTCTTTTTTGTTCCTGTTTTTATGATTCTCATGATGATTCTGATTTGCCAGAAAAGGAATGTAGTAATTGCAAACATGAATAGATGTGTTCAAGATGAAGAGAAATGACTCAATGGAGGTGAATTATAAATGGAATCAAGTGAAAAGCTAAAGAGTCTAAAGCAATGCCTGCTTTGGATGTGTAAACACATTTTTATTAGTTCACAACCATAACTGTTTTTAAGGCATATAAACTGGGTACACAAGTGAAACCCTTTAATTCTTGTATGGTCAAATGCCAAATATGTATGTAGCTATTTATATATAGTTGTGACTAATAAAATCTGTCATTACTGTGGTTTGAGAAAAAATGCAAAATTTGAACACGCTTTGAACAGAATGCTACTTTTACAAACTCAGATGCATCTTCTCTGTTATGACAAGTACATGTGGAGAAGCATGATTAATAAATTTAGAACCAATACCTGCGATTTCAGAATAGTGTTAGGGCTATTGGGATTTATGGGCAAATTAATTGACAGTAACTTTCCCTAAATATTACAGGAACACTGAGCAGGTAACGTTTGAATCTGGATTAGGGTCTGGCTTTGTGGTTCATAACCAAATTAGGGCTCTGATTTGGATTAGATTCTGCAGCGAAGGAATTTTATGGCCCAATATCATAAGGTTTTTTGCCTAAAATGGAGAAAGTTTGAGATAAGCCCATTTCATTATACAGGTTGTAATTTCAAAGAAGTAGGCATTCTTGGAAAGAAGTGCAAGCAGTGTTGAAAGAGGAGAGAGAAGTCTGTGTCCACCGAGTCAATTTGGCTTGCTCCCTATTTCCATTCAGTGGTCGCTAATCGCCTGCACCATATGTGTGTGAGGTTGCTCCAGTCGTCTTTTTGGAA